CATTCCTGCAGGTGTACACCCCCTCCCCCTCTCTCTTTCTTTCTCGCTCTCTAAGGACAGCCTGCAAAGGCTCTTTAAATTCCATTCCCTCTCCCCTAGAAATGCCAGGCGCATCAATCCCACTTCTTAGTTTTCCTGAGCCCTCACGACTTGGTCCGGGGGCTTGAGGGTGGAACTTTAGCAAAGACAGGGATGCTGGAACGAAACCAAGAGCGGAGTTCCCCTCGGCTGGGCGCTGCGCAGTCTGTCTCTCTCTCTCAGCCGCGAGGCTTTCCCTGTCTTGTGAGAAGAGGCCTGTGGTGGATTCCCCGTCACTTGAAGTCTTAATTTCAGCGGGGCATCTTTCTAGGAGATCTGTTGTCGCTCACTCAGCAGTTCTGGGCTTGCTGGGGGACCTGCTCTGGGGTCCTGGGGGGCCTGTCTCTTCTCCGGAGCTCAGATCAGGCAATCCAAAGGCCTTCGAATCAGTGCATTTGTGTCAACTTTACTAGTTCTCCGTAGAGCCTCCCTTAGTAGATCAGTTCTGAATAGCTAATGGTGCCAGCAAACTCGCTTCCTTCCTGGCCTGCTGTCTGCTATAAAGCAGCAAAAACGGTCTCCAATCCCCGTTCGTTTTTTTTTCTTCTTTATAGATCATCTTTAGCGGAAACCCTATGACCAAAGCCCCAGTGAATCCCATTGCCCGGGTGACTCCTGCAGCTAGCCTGACATCTAGGACAGCAGCGTGTGCATCCCCTCACTCCTGTGAATGGTTTCCGGATGTCGGTGTGATGACTAGGGATGTTAGACTAGTTGACTATCCAATAAGCATTTGTTTATTGGATAGGCTTTTGACTAGCTGACATTCCCCCTGCCCCCTCTCTATCCCCTAGGCCATGCCAGAACCTGCCCCACCACCTTACTCTCAGGGCGCCCTTCATCCTGCCTGCCCTTGGAGGGGGGGCGGGAGGGAGGGACAGCAAAGCAGGGGTGGGGAGAAGAGTACGTCAAAGCGGTAGCGCCACACAGCAGCACTGCCACTTTGAAACTCCAAGGCGACCGTTTCAAAGGGGCAATCACCACATGACTAATCCATGGATCACAGCTGATCGGTGGATCACGGATCAGCTGGGAGGTGGCTGCCCCTTTGACACTGCCGCCTCTGCACGTTTCAAAGGGGCGGTGGCTTCTTGTGCGTTTCAAAGCAGGTGCCCGTGTGCAGCTCGGAGTCAGCGAGCCGTCCCGCTGGCCCCAGGCTGTATGCGGAGTTCTGCAGCCCTCCTTTGAAATGTACAAGAGCTCCAGCAGGGGCTCTTGCATGTTTTAAAGGAGGAATGCGGAAGTGCCTATCAACTAGTCAATGGACATTCCGTCGACTAGTCAATTGACCACATTTAAACATCCTTAGTGATGACAGACATGGGCATGTTTGCTCGTCGGCATCTGCAAGAGGGAAGCTTTTGCTGAATATAACGAGCGAGAGGCAATGGGCTTAAATTGCAGCAAGGGAGGTTTAGGTTGGACATTAGGGGTACGTCTAAAGTACATGCCTCCATCGACGGAGGCATGTAGATTAGCTAGCTCGGCAGAGGGAAATGAAGCCGCGATTAAAATAATCGCGGCTTCATTTACATTTAAAATGCTGCCCCGCTCTGCCGATCAGCTGTTTGTCGGCAGATCGGGGCAGTCTGGACG